CAGGAGCGGTGGCTGCCACTGCAGCCAGGGCGGGGCGGTGGATGGCAGCTGCTGCAGCGGCCCGATGAGCGCGGCGGAGGCCACCTGGTGCGGCGGCTGCCACGGCAGCCAGGACGGGGCGGTGGTGGCGGTGGATGGCAGTTGTAGCGGCTGCTGCAGCAGCCCGACGAGCGCGGCGGAGGCCGCCTGGTGCGGCGGCTGCCACGACAGCTAGGACAGGGCGATGGATGGCCGCTGCAGCGGCTGCTGCAGCAGCCCGGCGAGCGTGGCGGGGGCCGCTTGGTGCGGCGGCTGCCACGGCAGCCACTACGGCGCGGTGGCGGTGATGGGCGGCGCAGCCGGGTGCGTCCCATAGGACCCGGCCAAGAACAGGTGGATCTCCTGGACCGCCCGTGTTAGGTCCCGCAGCGCCCCGGACACCTCCGGGGTGAGGACGACGGGGGCGGGCGCGACGGAGAATCCCGGCGCGGGCAGGAGCGGGGTGACGGTCGTGACCGGCAGCGGAAGAGACGGGTTGGGCGGCGGTGAAGACATGATCGAACCGAAGCTAGCTGATACCAAATTGTTATGGCGCTGCTAGAAGGAGGGCGCGAGAGGACCGGCCGGGGGCCTTTCTGCCCATGGCCGGGCAAGAGGGAAGGGATTTTCTTCTTAATTCTTGCTTGATTAGATTGATACATCTCCTCTCTTTATATAGAAAGGTTTACTTGACTCCCAAGCAAGGCTTACTTGACCCCTAAGAAAGCGACCCTTATCTCTAATTAACCCTAAGACTAACGGGCTATACCGCCAGCCCAGACCAGTAGGCCCATTACGTACTCTAACAAATTTTCTATAAGAAATTCATGATGTACTAAAAAGACTCATGGTATCCACATTATATGGTTTGTGTGGCTTGCCTGCTCTGCAGTCATGCTTGCATACGTGTTTTCATGCAACTTATTTATCCCCCATGCTCCTTTTTTCTGCTCTAGTCATTTTTTCCTCGAAAAATCTAGCAACAAACATCCTTTCCACTATCCTCTCAGTGTGGACGACGGAGCTCAAGTTGCCCCTGGATGACCAACATGCATCGTGATCTACCAAGAGATCACCTCACTTGTGCTTCATGTACACTCAAAGCTCGGTGCTGAGCTGAGTTTGGCGTTGCTCTAGTTTCAGAGGTTCCATTGTGATGGCTCCATACGCATTTTCACAGCTCATATGTTGCACACTGTCTCCGTATATCAACTTATATCATGTCCCATTGAGCTAGTTACATGTCATGATTTTCAACTTTTATCCTTTTCACCGTGAGCACATAATCTTTATTCTTTGTTAGTGTTTTATTTCTCTTTGTGTGTTTTGTAGGCGATGAGGACTTCCAATGCACTTAGCAGGATGAAAGTAGTTCAAACAGTGGACATTCAGACCCCAAACTTAGCCGTTTCGGAGAGCAAAAAATCATTTTTTCAAAGTGCTCAAAACAAATATCTATTAGCAAAAATGGTCAGCGTCGTTCATACGAATCCAACAAACCCAAAAACGTCAAATTTCAAATTCGAATGAAGAAATGGCGGCCGATTTACCGAAGAGGGCCAGAGTAGAAGACAACGTTTCATACGACTATAGTTGGTCGTATGGGCAGTCGTATGGAAGGAAATCGGGCCTCTCTAGTCCAGGGGCGGATGCAGATTGTGGTCTGCATCGACGACGTCTGGAAGACGAAACGTGTGCTGGGTTAGTGGTTCATGGATGGCATATATGATTTCTTTCTTCGGTGTCTTAGTCGTGGTGGGGTGCCAGATCTGGAGTTCGATGCCGTGCCCGGGGTGTTGCCCCGTGATACGTCTTCAACGTATCTATAATTTATGAAGTATTCATATCGTTATATTATCATTCTTGGATGTTTTACAATCATTTTATAGCAACTTTATATCATTTTTTTGGGACTAACCTATTGACCCAGTGCCCAGTGCCAGTTGATGTTTTTTGCTTGTTTTACATCGCAGAAAATCAATATTAAACGGAGTCCGAACACCGCGAAACTTTTTGTGAATTTTTTATGGGCCAGAAGACTCCCGATGGGCCAGAGCAGCACCTGGGGGGTGCCTTCCTGGCGCGCCCAGGTGGGTTGTGCCCACCTCGGTGGCCTCCCGCACCCCTTCTTTGCACTATAAATTTCTAAATATTTTGAAACCCTTCGGGGTTAACCTAGATCAGAAGTTCCGCCGCTGCAAGGCTCCGTAGCCACCGAAAACCAATCTAGATCCATTTCGGCACCCTGTCGGAGGGGGGGTATCATCTCCGGTGGCCATCTTCATCATCCCGGCGACCACCACGATGAGGAGGGAGTAGTCCACCCTCGGGGCTAAGGGTTTGTACCAGTAGCTATGTGTTTAATCTCTCTCTCTCTCTCTCTCTCGTGATCTATATCATGGGCTTTGTTAATATAGTCAGATCATATGATGTTTCTCCCCTCTATACTCTTGTTGTGATGAATTGAATCTTTACCCTTTGAAGTTTTGTCATGTAGGATGGAATGTTCAGATTTGAGAACACATGATATATGTTTTGCAGTATGAATACTTGAGGTGACACTTGGGGTATCTTATTGATTTACTTGATATATGTTATGGTATTCAACTTGCGGATTCCCGCGGTGATATTAGGATAATCTATGCATAGGGGTTGATGCACGTTTTTATTATTTTTTCTCCGACGGAAACTTTGGGGTCTCCTTGTAGTTCTTTGTGTGGATTGAGTATTATGAATATGAATTTGCTTTGGTGTTATTCTAATACGAACTCTAAGATAGATCGAACGGAAAAAATAGCTTTGTGTTATTTTAGTACGGACTCTTGAATAGATCAAACGGAAAGAATAGCTTTGAGGTGGTTTAGTATCCTACAAACAATTCCTATCTTTTGTTCTCCGCTAATAGGAACTCGAGAGTGATTCTTCGGTACACTTTGAGGGATAATCATATGATCCAACTATGTTAGCACTGTTGAGAGATTGCACTAGTGAAAGTACGGACCCTAGGCCTTGTTTTTAAGCATTGCAATATCGCTTTTGTGCCCGTTTACTATTTGCTACCTTGTTGTTTTCATTTATTCAAATTATAAAAATATATTTCTACCATCCGTATTACACTTTTATCACCACCTCTTCGCCGAACTAGTGCACCTATACAATTTGCCATTGTATTGGGTGTGTTGGGGATACAAGAGATTTCTTGTATTTGATTGCAGGGTCGTTTGAGAGAGACCATCTTTATCCTACACCTCCCATGGATTGATAAACCTTAGGTCATCCACTTGAGGGAAAATTGCTACTATCCTATAAAACTCTGCGCTTGGAGGCCCAACACGTGTCTACAAGAATAAAGTTGCGTAGTAGACATCACCCCGGTCTGATTCGTTCAACGGCAAGGGATTCACATTTGGTGAGCCACCTTGGAGGTCCGCAAAGCTGCATATCAACGATGGAGCCCCGTTGAGCTTGGGTGAGGGGTGATCCGTCATTCTTTTCTTTGGTGGCTGTTGTGGTGGTGTCGGAGGCAGGTGACGGGCGTTGGTGTCAAACTCAGAGATGTTCTGCTATCTTTTCAGTTTGTCATGTCGATCTTTACGTGACTTGTACTTTGATATTTATGATACTAGGGTTTTCCCTAGTAGTGTGCCCTTATGCAAGTTTTCTGAATAAAGTTTTGGGTGAGCCCTTCATGTCTTCCAATTAAATTCAAATGGTGATTTGAATTCAAATGTTGTCCTTATTTGCCTCAAAAACCAAATATGCAAGGAAATCATGGATGCATATGCTTCTAATTCCACAACCAAAATTTAAGAAAAATTGGGTTGTAACACGAGGCACAAGTTTTACCTAGGTTTAAACCATCACCAATCGTAACAACCTTACTCCTAGTTTACATATTTTTTCTAAAGTGAGAGTATATGACAATGATTGTTGTTAAAGTATCTCTTGTAAAACTATCGGTTAGTAAATTTGCATAGATTAAACAAACAAGATGAAAATGCATGTAATATTTAACTGAAAAAGGCTTTCGCCCCGCTTTATTGATTGTGGTATTGTCTGGAATCTCACACCCTCTCTGCCCCGACACTTTGTCCTCTCCCACCCCGACTCCTTTCCAGGCAATGGCCCATCCTCATCGGCCTCATCTAGCCTCATATGTGGCTCATGCTCTATCCCATTGCTGGTGGGTGAGACCGTTGAGTTCACCTCGCCTCTTCTTGGTGAGACATCGTCCCGTGTGAGCGCTCAAGGTGGGAACTCAGAGCTTCATGTCAGGATCCATTCCATGTGAGCACCAAGGTGCCGAAGCGTCACAAAGTCCATTGTGACACCAGAGCAAAGCCCCTTGTAGCCTTGCTTGCCAGCCCCTTCAGGCGAGTAACCTTGCTGCCGACTGCTGGCCACATGCTACACACACCTGCCCTGCTACTGCTACAATGTCCTCTCACACTCCGCATGGTGCGGGTGTGCCCAACTATTGCCACGCCTCAGCTTCACGGTTTTCAATTCACTTCCAAACGGCCAACCGGCCATAAAATTTGGAATTCGTGTCGACGTGAATAAAGAATAATTTCTGAAAGGGATTCAATTTAATTGAATGACTTGTAGTGAATAGATTATTTTAGAAGGCATTGTAATGAATGACTGGACTGCAAGCCAAAGGGTTGTATTTGATTTAAACTCCATGAACAAAACTCAGTGACATAATATGCTTGAGACGCAAGACGAAATGGGAGAAAAAGGCCATGGCCGTGGTGAATCGACATTTCCATAAGCTTGAGATGCACGCAACGCAACGCAACCAAATCCGATGCTGAAACTGACTCGAAATGTAAACATTTCGATTTCTTCATCGATCACAGCAAACGCGGCTTCGATTGCCATCAGGATCACAAAGCTTTAAAAGGCCATCTGGCACCTCCAATCTTTCCCATCATCTCCTCCACCTCATCCTCTCGCATCTTCCGGCGTCCGCTGTTCCCATGGAGATTGCCCGCCGGGAGCCCTTCAGCATCATGCCCGGCCGGAAGCGCCCGCTGGAGATCCTTCGCCAGCGGTTCCAGTCAGAGCTCGTCGCGGTCCGTCGCCTCCTCGCCGAGGCGCACGCCATGCTTCCCGCCTCGTCCCCGTCGTCCCTTCCAGCCGAGGAGCCGCCAGCCAAGAAGAGGAAGGCGTCCCCCCCTCCCGTTCCCGCGAAGAAGATGACGCCCAAGGAGCGGAGCCAGCTCTACGCGGACCTCACCAAGCTAGCCAATCTGTCTGAATCCCATGTACTCCCTGCTCATATCCTGGAGCTGCTGAAGAAGCACAGCCGCCGCGGCATCTGCGACGATTACGTCGAGATCGAGATGAACGCCGTCCAAGACGCGGCCCTCGTGGAGATGCAGAAGCAGCTGGACAAGTTCCTTGGAGAGAGGGCCCAAGACCAAGAGGAGGACCAAGACGTGGACATCGTCGGTGGCGTCTCCCCTTTGCCGGTCAGGCCGACATCAGTGCAGGTGCAGCTCGGCGACGCCTCACCGGTGAAGAATCTTGGCCAAGGTGCAACCATCAGCGGCAGCAGCGGCTCGGATTCTGGTTCATCTCACCAGAGCGTCGACAGTCGTCCAGCTCCGGCAGAGCGCGCCGCCAACAGTACTACGCCTCCAACACGCGACCTCATCGCCCGTGCCGGCGAGATTTTGGAAAGGCGACGAAAGAAGGAGACGTCCCGGGCGAGGGAGAAGGCCCGTCAGCAAGTGCTCGAGACGGAGAGGACGGCAATGTTCAACGAGACCCTGGACGAGGAGGCGAAGGCGCTCGGCATTGATCAGTACAACACGGCCAGGCCGGACAACTTGTTGCGACAGATGGGACTCTTCCTCAAGCTTGACGACCACGACCTGAAGCAGCAGCAGCAGCAGAAAAGCTTCCAAGAAGATTTAGAGGAAGGGGAGATTGAACGTGATTGAAAATGTATGAAATTACCTGATCGATTGGTTCGATTCTCAGCTCAATTAGTGATTTTCTTTTGTGTGTGCACATGTTTGTGGTGTTGCCATCTTGTGTAGCAACATGCTGGCACTTGATGCTGTTCTTGAGGCCTCAGAGAAGGCGTGTAAGCATGATTGAATGAGAAAGTTGTGGTTGTGTGGCCACCTCTTATCTAGACCATATGAAAGTAGATGATCGATTATACGCAGTGCATGATTGTGGTCAAATAATGACCCGTAGCGTAGCGCCTGAGACGTTTGCTTCTTGGCCTAAACCTCATCAATTATCTGGATATGTCACGTGGTGCTTGGTGAAAAAAGAACAATCTCTTGGTACTAAAACGAGATGCGGTAAGAATGCAACAAAGCATCGAGAACACATTGATCAGGCCGACCCGGTTATTCTTTCAGAGTTACAAAGCGGGATCTGCAGCGGTCTGTGGAATCGTGTCCACTCTTTGCTTCTTGGCAACTACGGATGATGATGTTTCAGGCGGTGTCACGGTGACTTTTGTTTTCCCCACCGCGATGAATGCCACTCTCTTCCTCGTATCAGGCTTGACATCTCTGCGTGGAGTCGGCGCAGCAGCGGGCGTGCCAAGAAGAGAACCCGGAGTGTTTTGATCATCTGGTAGTTGCCTCCCGCTGTGAGAATCTCCAGCATCGCCGCAATGGGTGGCTTTATCTGGTTGGTCAGCCAGAGAAGCATCATGTTGTTGCTTGGCTGGGGTGTTCGCTCCATCAAGGCTTTCCATCTCTGATATGTCACAAGTGCAGCATTAGAGGTTATAAGAATCCTTTTCAAAGTATGACACGATAAACACATAAATAAACAAGCATTCATGTTCTATTAGATACAAAACAAACAAGTGATGCTTAAAAAAAGTACAGCATTTTGTCAGCACATGCACTTCAATTTCCAGTTGGAGCACGCAACCCAAAATATGCATTAAAATTGCAATGGAAATAACAGCAAATAAGATCATAGTGGCAATTCACACAATCCCTGACATCATCCAGCTAGGCTAACTGACTGTTGTTTTCGTTGTTAAAACTGTCAGTCGTATAGAGATATATGGCTACTACACCAAAATATCATGCTAAACAACAGTAGTCCACCATAAGTTACAAATCCCAAACGCATACTCTTGAGAGTTTTGTCAAATGTCATCTAACATAAGAGACATGGAGATGGTATCAGAAAACATACTTAAGTGTCATCATTACTTCCATATAGTCAACTGAACGTGAATGTAATAGTGCCACCAAGGCCCTTCATCTCCATTCATACTCATTCCATATCACTTCCTACTACTTTCTACTACATATATTTGTTATTAATACATACTGTATTTTCAGTTTAGATTACTTAACAGAAAACTATTTTTCATTTGCATGCCTTTTAGATACAATTGCATGGGATTCTTTTAGTATCAGCAGGAACTCATGTATAAGTATTGCAGAAAATGCAACCATTATGAACTCCAAAGGTTCATATATCATGAATCAGAGAAGGTAAGGTGTTCCAACCTTCACTAACAAGTCCAAGGGTCTCATACTGGATTGATGAATCTGGAGTGCATGACTTCAGATCCTCACCTTGGGTTTTCTGACTGCTAGCTTTTGTCTTTTCATGCAAAACAAATTTATCTTTTACCCATACACACTCCAGTATAGTACTGGGATTGTTACTCGAGGGGTAGTACTCTCTGAAAGCCTGTGAAATGAAGAGGCGAAACCAAGGAGTTATGTGGAGAGGTAACTGCAAGGTCCAGCCACTGCACTTTTGTGTGAAAGCATGATCTTATGCTTTACCTTTTTTTTCCATGATCAAGGATTACAGAGTAATAGTGTGGAAGCAAAACATGCCTGCACTTTACCAATACTGATCTTAACAGACTGCTTTTTATCCGTAAGATCAGTAACCTTGTTGTATACTGATACAACATCAAGTAACATCTGTAAACACAATATCAGAGGGTCAGCATTGTAAGCAAAATTTCTGCACAAAGAGACAAAGAAGATAACTAGCACACATATGATTCCAAGTTGACATTTCTTAGAATCCTAATTTAATACACATAACAGTTTGACTACCAAGTTAGTTGCTGCATATATATATGGGCGGTTATTTACTGAATTCAATCGATACAATCATTCATAGCCATGACTGTAGACTATGTGGCTCACCTGTTGAGTCAGGACCCTCACTCGTGCAAGCAAAGCAAGCACTGCAGTGCAAAGTTCTACGAAAAAAGATCTAGCAAGTAAAAAGCTGATCTGGCTGTAGTATGTATTAAGGAACTTTGGTAGGTAGCAATCAACTCAGAATGAAAGTTAATATGAGATTTATTTCGTTTTTGGTACACAAAGAGTAAAATGATACATGCTTCACCTAAGGCAAGCCAAGTGTGGGTGTACACCTTGTTTTATTTGCTAAGAAAACAACAAAACACAAAAAAGGATACACTGCTCCCTTCATAACAGGTTCAGCCAACTGCACAAAATACAGAAAGCATTAGTGTTCAAACCAAGTTAGCTATCTCCTGTCTCGAAGTTGATCAAGAATGATCTGTAAACTACAACGGCTCATCCAGAAGTATGTATCAGGCAGTTACAAAATATAGAATTTCTAGGGTAATGAGCTTCATGTACCATATAAGGGTTTATGCTAAATTACATCGGAAATCTTGCAAACGTGCAGGGATAATCACAACCCTTTTCTGCTCTCCATAGTTAGCTAAACAAAAGTAAAACAACCAGGCGATATAGGCAGACTTTCACAGATTCAAATTTCAATATTGTGTAACTCGTTACTTGAAAACGACCACAAGGAACAAAAGTTGTGCTCTATCAACGGTGGCATTGCATTTATGGTTCCATCAAAATATTTGACTCAACTGCAATAGGATATTTTGCAAAACACAACCAGTGTCGACAGACAACAAAACACACCTGGGACAGCAAACGGGCAACCCCCAAAAGCCTCTTATATTGGCAATGGTTTGCACCAGGCTTCCTCTTACCCTGCCTATAAAAGAAAACATTAATCAATAACCTGAATAGCAGACTAATATGATTATAGCATCATTGTACCAAGAATAAAAACAAACAAAATAATCCGAACTGCGAAGAAATTAAGCACTGCCCATACAAGTAGAAACTTCTAGCTATAAGTCATTAGTGAATACATTTTTATTTGTTATCTCCTAGGATCAATATATGACAAAGATTGTTTTACAGGGGAGTGCAACCGCACCAGGGATGCAAAACCTGACGAACCTGTTCGGAACAAGAATAGTGTTGGCTGGCTTACGACAGGTGATGACCGGGAACACCGCGCTGATGACCTCCATGAGATTGGCGCCAAGCAGCAGCTTCTCGTCCCTCCGCACCTACGCGCCCAACCCAAACACATACAAATCACACTCATCAGTGCAGAGCCACTCGCCGGAAAAAATGGGCGAGCAGGTCGTGGTAGTAGGAGTACCTTGAGGAGGTACTGGAAGTAGGCGGCACCGCGGTGCTGGTTCCTGTGCTTGTAGACCAGGCGCTCGAGCACTCCGGCCTCCGCCTGCAGGTGGCGCAGCGCCGCCCGCATCCGATGCTCCTCCGCCGAACCCTCCGGACGCGTAGCTGCCATGTCTAGGTCGTGGATGGATGTAGAATTTGAACTCAATGCTCAACTATCCAACAAAGTACGTACATAAAACATGACAAATACTAGAAATAATAGCGGGTGAATTCGTAGCAAAATCCATCAACTTAACTTGACAAATCGATAACAAAAATACACTGCTCGAGAGGTAATTAGAAATTACCCAGCGGAAACAGGAGCGAGCAGCGATCCCTACCCGGCGTTCCTCGGCGTCGGGCGTCAGCGCCTGGTCGGCGGGAGCAGGGCGGCAGTCCTTGTACCAGGCGCAGGCCGCACAGCGGCAGGAGCCCGGCGGACGGGGCCAAAAATGACCGGCGCGAAGGCGGGCTGCCGAGGGGCCGGGGAACGGCGGCAGGGCACGGTTGTGCGAAGCGGCGGGGGCAGACCGGGCAGGACGGCGTGGGGGGCACAGCGCTCCGGTGAAGGGCGGCGGCCGGCGGAGGACAGGACAGCGAACAGGCGGCGCCTGTGTGCGTTTGGGCATTCGGCGCAGCGAGGAGGCCTCCTTCGGGCCTTCTTCTTCGTATTTTGGGCCTTGGTGGGTTGCTACTGTCCGGGCTGAACACCTAGGCAGCTGCTGTTGTTTATCACTCCTAGCCAGGGACAAATCTTCTATTATTTTTTTTAATAAGGGGTGCCCACAGTAGTCAGGGATGCAGTTAAGGGCTGTTTGCATGCTCCTAATGAATCTTTGAGTGACAGATACCTAGAAATGCCTACTGACGTGGGTCACTCAAAAATGAGCACATTCAAGTATCTCAGCGATCGAGTCTAGGACAAGATAAAAGGATGGATGAGTAAATGTTTATCGGCCGGAGGTAAAGATGTATTGATAAAATTTGTAGCACAGACGATCCCAGTTTATTCTATGTTCTGTTTTAAGCTCCCGAGAGGACTATGTAATCATTTGAACTCCATCATAAGAAAATTCTAGTGGGGATGCAAGCAGGGCCATAGAAAACCAGCTTGGGTGTCTTGGGAGGTGATGACAAGACCCAAATATTTGGGAGGATTGAGATTCAGAGACTTTGAACTCTTCAACCTTGCACTTTTGGCAAGGCAAGCCTGGAGGATCTTACAAGAGTCTGAATCTCTTAGTGCCAGAATTTTGAAAGCCTCATATTATCTAGACACCAACTTCCTCAATGGAGAGCTAGGATCAAAGCCCTCACAGATTTGGAGAGCTATTCTAGAAGGGAAAGACATTCTAAAACAGGGTTTAATTCACAGGATTGGCAACGGACAAACGACGAATATTTGGGATGACAATTGGATACCCAAAGAAGTGTCGCTGCGTCCAATTATATCAAGGGTGACGAAC